CCCAGAGGTCAGTTCGAACTTCGCCAGTACCTGCTCTGCTCTACTAAGTTGCTTCTTCCCTTCCAGGACCAGAGTGGTGTCATCCGCATACCCAATGTACGCCAATCTCTCACTCGATTTGCTGATGCCCATCTTCCTCTTCAGAACCGTATGCGCCAACGGCTCGACCGCACACAAGAACAGGTAAGGCGCGAGGGGGCAGCCTTGTCGAACCCCGGAGACCACCTCCACCCCTTCCCCCATCCAGCCGTTCACTAACAACCTCGTTTGCGTTCCTTCATGCAGGCCCTCCACCCAACTCACGAACCGATCCGGGAAGCCCATCGCTCTCATTTTTCGGAAAAGGTAGCCGCGTGAGACCGAGTCGAAGGCTTTCTTGAAGTCCACGAGTAGGAGGAACCAATCCTCGTTGTCATTTCGCGCGGTGTCGATGATATCCGCGACCAGCCCCACTGCGTCAGTCAACCGCCTTCCCGGTAGGAACCCATATTGCTCCGGCGATATCACCCTCCCCAGGAAACGTTTCATTCTGTCCGCCATGACCCGCGCCAGCACTTTGTACGTGAAATTGAGCAGCGTGATCGGACGGTAGTTATTGAGCTGATCTTTGTCGCCCTTTTTGTGCAGCAGGATCGTCACTACTTCCTTCACTTCCGTCGAGAGCACTGCAGTCTGTGCGAAGTCTCTGGCAAGAGCCATAAACCCCTTTCCTAGCAGGTCCCAGTGAGCTTCGAAAAGCTCCATGGGGAGGTCGTCTTTGCCTGGAGACTTATGTGCCGTCATCGCACTAAAAGCTTTCTTCACCTCCTCTTCTGTCCAATCCGCTGACAGCTCCTCTGCTTCCCATGCCCGTAGTGTCTTTTCTTTTTCAGGCCGCCATCTTTCTTCATGTTGACAACGGTCTCTCCCAAAGATATCAGCGAAGAAAGCAGACGCTGCCCGAAGGATCCCCGGAGAGTCAGATACCACCCCGCTCGACGTCTGCAGTTCCGCGATCTGGGTACATGCCTTCCTTGCCCACACCATCACCGTCAGATGCTGTGACGCCACCTCCCCTCTGAGCTCCGTCCGCAAACCCGACATCAGGTGCAGCTTATCCTTCCATGATGCGTGATATTCCCGCAGCTGCACCTCTTTCACGGCTAACCGCTCACTCGTTTGCTTGCAGTCTGGATCCCGCATCATCGCCTGCCGGAGACTGGCGACAGCATCCACCAGATGAGTCGCCGTCGCCTTAACACGTTTACCCTCCTCCTTCGCAAAAGCACGGAGACCGGCAGCCAATCTTGTGAGCAACAGCTCAAAGCTGCTCCCATCCGCAACAGCGCACCTCTCCACTGTTGCTTCAACAATCGCCCGGACACCGCGTTTCTGCACCAATGAGGCGTGAAGCCTCCAGAGCCCAGGGCCGATGCTAAGCTTGACATCCATACGAAGGGCTATGCGGATCACGAAACCATGGTCTGAGATAAAGTCCGCCGGCATAACGTGCGAGGCTTGGATCAAATGCGGAAGCAGCGAGTGGGAGACGAGAGCCCGGTCTATGCGCGTACTTACTTGCTGGGCCTGCGAGAAAAACGTGAACTCTCGTTTTCTTGGATATAACGTTCTAAAGGCGTCTGATAGCTGGAAAGTGCTGCAGCGGTTGAGTAGCCTGTCGTTTTCAGCAGATGAACCTAAACGCGATGATTTGTCTAATACAGGGTCTTCTATGATGTTGAGATCCCCCATGATGAGCAGGTGACTGGATGGCGGGACCCGATCAACTACCGGACCGAGAGCGTCGCGGACAAAAGCAGCGTGTGAGGTCGGGTTTGCTGGGAAGTAACAGGCTATGGCTGTGAGATGAAGACCGAGGCCGTGGATTTCTGTAGAGACTAATCTACCCGAGGAGTGAGCTAGCACGTTGCTAAAACTTAAGAGCTGCGATCGACAGAGTAGAGCTACGCCGCCAGCCTTTGACCTAGGTGAAGTAGTGGCAGCTAAACTGTAAGTGGGGTGAGTCCAGAGAGGATGGTCTGAGGCTATCCTAGTGTCGGAGAGTACTATGATATCAGCTGCTTGCCTGGACCAGTCTAGGACACGTTGCTGTTTGGTTTTATCTCCAAGGCCGTTGACATTAAGGCCTGCGAAGCTGATAAGGCTTTTCTTACTCATTTGATAACAATCTGAGAACCCCTACGCATCCACAGGGTAAAGAAGAGTACGACACTGACAACTGTGAGACCTACTGCCGTTGCTGCTGCATGACTGTCAAGCTGATCCTGCCTCAAATCCCGTAATCTTTCCTCGTGACGGTGAGACTCGCTTTTTTGAGAGAAACACGCGTGGCAGAGCCGAGCTGCTCCAGATGAATGCGGTGGTTGGCCGACGTGATGTGGTCCGCTGCAGATATGAAGCTCCTCCCCTTGGCCTTCCCGCAGCCCACTTGAGTGCAGATCCACTCCGGTGGAGATGAGCACGATCGCCGGGTCCAGCAGAATAGGAGTGATCAGCGGCGAAGCCGAGAGAGAAGCAGCTGCATGGAACCACTTGACAGTTAGCACAAGTAAGAACATTATGGAGAGAGTGATCATGGTTACAGAAGCAGTTACCGTTGATGCGGTGAACCCTTCCCAAGGTAAGGTTCCACTTTCCTATGTTGTTTTGCCGCTCCGTCATGAAAGCGTCATGATTGACATCATAATGTTGTCCACCGCAGAGCAGGCAAGTCAGCGCGGGGAAATGGACTAAATAGCAACGACCAATCTCGGACGGATCTTGGAAGACGTGACGCCAGCGATAACGGTCACCAGGATGCGGGACCACAAGACCCTTGATGACGTCGGTATCGGCACCAGTGACCGGATGCAGAACGCGATGGAAGCAGATACCGTCCTTAAACGCCGAACGCTTCCGATTCCGCAACTGGTAGACCGCCAACAGCTCCCGCAACATCTCAGGTGTCTTCGTCGCAGGTACGTCGCGGATCACCACTTTGATCACCTGAGCGTTCGTCGCCCGTTCCCGTACAAAAGCGGGATTGTCAGTGTGCTGCCAGTAGATTCTAAACACCGTGCCGTTGGGACGCGTGTAGTCAACCTCCCTTGACCTGATGCTCATGATATCTTCTTCGCGCAGGAGGGAGACTTGCAGCTGACTGTAGCGGGTCTTCGCCACGTATGCCGGGAGGAGTTCTTGGAACTTCGCCGAGTCAGCAGCACCATCGGAAAGCGTTGAAGACCACACACGCCTCATCAGGGTCCGGACCGTGGTGATGACTGATGCCACTTCTAAGGCGAGAGCCACCGGAAGCAGAAGAATTGCCGTATAGCGAACATGGATGAAAGCCTCCGTCCTGACGTTGACTTCAAGTTCCTCGTCGGAGTCATCCTCGAGGAAGCCGCTGTCAGGAGCAGCCGTACGAAGAGAGCGCAGCTTTTCCTCCAAGAAGAGCCCGGAACCGCTCGCTGTGTCTTCAGCATGAGTCACATTGCCAGAAACTTCAGCACTGCCTTTACCCTTGCCTGCAGGTTCAGATGCAGCAGGAGCAGGAGCAGGAGACGAGGGCGAGGCTCCTACGGTTGATGGTGGAAACTCCAGCGATGCGGCCTCCGTCAGAGCCTTTGGCTTCCCTTTGGGAGGCATCGTGCGATGATGAGTAAGGAATGGCTGTGAAGCTGAAGAACAGACCAGTGATGTCTGAGCTGATGCCATAACTCTGAGCACAGACTGGTTAAGTAGGTAAAATTCTGAGGCGTTTGACCATTGTTCTTGCAGCTGATGATGAGAGACCGAGGTGGAAGCCTCAGGATCATGGTAGGAAATAGCCTTAATAGTTGCAATGTAGTACTTGATGTAAGACTGAACACATAAAACAGAGAACCAAAGCCTTGGAGTTAGAAGCCTGTCAAAAGGAACCTTGGAGTTAGATGCCTGACAAGAAACCGGACCTCGGTTAACGAAATATACAGTGTCTGACTTGTAGACACAAAAATAGTATCGAACGATGCGCCTTGTAGCGAGGAGACCGGATCTATAGTTGTTGAGGACATCTGACACGGAACCTTCACAGGACCTAGACTGGAAACAACACGGCAGAATCCATGGCGGACTCAAGCGCGAGCTCATTTTTCCTCAAGTTCGCACGGCTGGGGAGGCAAGTGGCAACAACACTGAGGGTGTGTGTCTTTTGGTGTAGAAGTTTGGAAGAAAGGTCGACATTTTGCTGGTAATCAGTTTCGCAAATCTCGTTAGGGTTTGTTTGCAAAGTTAGTGAAGTAAAGCTCAGTGATTGGAAAACCACAAGGACACTGAACTCAGGTCGAACTCACAATTGCGTTTTCACGCACACGTTCATCCAATCGTGTGTTCTTCTGCACACGCACGATGAATGTGCGAATTCTGCGACGGTCGTCGTAACATCGTATGCACATCGTACGCACATCGTGCGCACTACGGAAGCCATCGTAACCGAACCGGGTAACCTACGAAGGTTGAGTGCGACTCGGGCCCTGCCCTATAAGCTCAAACTTCGATAGTCGAGCATTTTTGGTGCCATGTGCTTGACGCGAAAGATGAACACGCGCTTCGACAATCAAAGCTTGAACTTGGCAATCTGCGCCGAAGGCCACACGCCCTAATTTGTGGGGGAAAAAACGCGTGATCGATACCTTGTTGATACTGTCACGTTGCTCAGCCATTGAATCTTGTATTATTTACCACTTGCAGGTGTGGGAGAGGCAGCAGCAGGAGGATGAGAAGGTGGCGAAGACTGGGAAGCACACGTTTCTAATGCTGAGGATTTGACACATAGAGTGTGTGTAACATTGAATCCCACGTGTGACGATTTCATGTGTGTAACTGCCACTTGTGTTGTGTTGTGTGTTACCACTCCAGGCACGGAAGAGGCAGCAGCAGGAGGATGAGAAAGAGGCCAGGAATGGGAAGCACATTCTTTGCATGAATATAACAGCTTGACGGTCATATTTTTTACCCATCACATTATTGATCTGTCATTTTCACACTGGCAGGCACGGGAGAGGTGGCAGCAGGAGGGTGAGAAGGAGGCCAAGTCCGGGAAGCACACGTTTCGCAATCGGAAAGCAGCAGAGGGAGGCGCGAAAGGGGAGGGGAAGGGAGGAGATGCGCCGGTAAGAGGGGAAACGGGGAGATGGGTGGGCGAGGAGAGGGGGTGGGTGGAGGGGGAAGGGGGGAGCCGTGCCGGTAAGAGGGGAAACGGGGAGTCGGGTCGCCGAGAGGGGGAGGAAGGGGGGAAGGGGGCAGATGCGCCAGTCGAGGGGAAATAGGGAGATGGGTGGGCGAGGGGAGGGGCGGGGGTGTGGGTGGGGGACGTGGAGAGATGCGCTGGTAAGGAGGGGGGGAGGGTAGTGGGGGATGGGGATGGGAGCAGGAGTAGCATGGGATAGGCGGGAAAGGGGAGGGGAATGGGGGAGATGCAACAACAAAGGAAGGTTGGGCAGGGAGTGGGGTCGATGGATAAGGTGAATGGTGAGGCAGGGGAATGGTGAGGCAAGGGAATGGTGAGGCAGGGGAATGGTCAGGCAGGCATGGGGATGGGAAGCATGGGATTGGTGGGAAAAGGAAAGTACAAGGAAGAAGCAACGCACAGTCCGGCACAACAGATTTATCCCTCCTCGCCTTCTCCCAATCGCCCCCCTCACCCTCTCCCCCACGTCCTCTTCCCTTCCCCCCTCCCTGCCTCCTCTCGCCTCCACACAAGCACCAATCCACAGAACACTCACATCACTGAGCTCTATGTTATATTTCTTAAAAATGATGTTATCTTTCCTTAGCACACATCCTATTCACTTCACTGTGTCTCTTAGCTTCGCACGAACATGACTGGCTCTCCTGGTACTCACCACATTTACTGACAAATGTGCCTCTTACAATTGCTCATGCTCGTACACTTGCCAACACATTTGCTGACACTTGGCAGCGCATTTGCCACATCCCCGTAATGTGCTGCACACATTGTCACACCGCCATTGCCCACTGCCGTCTATAATTTCATTCAGGTTGGTAAGAACTCAAAGAAGGCAAGTGGAGGGTAGGGGACAACTCAAAAAGAGGTTGGTTCACTGCTATCGTTCAACGAGGAGATTGAGAATGAGTAGATAATGAATACAGTGGCTCTCCAACCGACTAGTGAAACAGAATTGAGTACAGACAGGTGGTGCGGTATGGACTGACTGACTAGAATTTCAATATGAGTTTTTGAAGAATATAAGCAGTGAATCTTACTGATTTGAACTGTAGAAACTCTAGCTCTGTCCCAAGCTGTTCATCTGCCCCTTCCCCTTGCCCACCTGCATCAGGCACACACCAGCAGTGCCGAACCGAATCCGCCGCCACCGCCTGGGCCATTAGCAGGCGGTCCATGATCGGGATGGATCTCAGAAGATAACGGTCGTCACGATTCAAAGTGGCGGGAACGACACACGACACGGATCTGATGATGTCATCTGACGGCCCCAGGGTTTGCGAAGTGATCGAAACGTGATGACCGTCAACTTAGTTGACCCAACCCCTCTGAGCATCCAAGATACACTTTCGATTGGAGAATCTGTACTACAAGACTGCAAATCTCGGCATCCTTCCAGTGTCCAAGATTCCCTTCTCGTGGGAATGGGAACTGCCCAAGATTTTCCGTTTCTCTTCTTCGCCCTCCATTTCCGTGTCAGTAAGAATCTCTGGGTCCTGATCGGTAGCCCCTAAGCCGAGTGTACTTCCTTGGCGTTGGCACTCGAACAGGAGTACACCGACCCACACGTGTGGGCACGTGTCGGTGGGTGCTTCCCATCTCCTCCTGTAAGTTTCCCAACTCCGAGGGGTGATCGGCACACCCTCGAGACTCCGCGTAGAGAAGTTTATCAAAATCCTAGTGTGAGTTTGGCTTAGGAGCCATAGTTTAGGAGCCTTGGTAGTTGAGTTCGAGTTTAGGAAAAGTATCGAGAGGTTTGGAAGGAGAGGAATGGGGTTTCACTAGCAAGAGTTGGGATACAAGTACAACACCCTAAATTGGGTTGTACTCATTATAGAGTACCCCACTGCAGGCTAGACAGCAAATACATTCTGACACACCCCCATAGCCAAAGTGGGGTGTAATCAGCACAATGAGCAAGCATAGAGCAAGAGTTCACAATAGGTAAGTAAGGCTAGAGCTAATCACAGAGGGCAAGTGAGGAGGAGGAGAGACTGTGGGGGAGAGAAGATGGGAGGCGACTGCTGACGCTGCAGACACACAGACGAGCTGCTGGCTCAGTGGCTACCGGAACAGCGCTCCGGACTACTGGGGTAACTGGCCCCGCGGCTAAAAGTAGCGGCAGACGAGCAACGGACCCACGGGCGACTGGCGACTACCGGAGATTGTAGCCTCCGGACTGCTGCTGCTGCTGACGACAAGACTGCTGCCTCCACTCGACCTCCCCAGCTGCCTAACGCCCTTCTCACACACCCCCTTCTCAAACCCTAGCCCTACACCCACAGCACCCCCTTAAACCCTAAACCCCAGACTCCCACACATCCACCCTCCTCAGCGAGAGCTGCAGCAGTGGGAGACGAAGGAGGAGGAGGAGGAGGGAACGGCACGCACAACCGACACCCCCACAACCATCACCCCCACACCCACCCCCCCACGGCTGCACCGGGTCCAGGAGCGGCTGCTGCAGGGGCCAGGGGCGGCTGCTGCTGGGGCGGCTGCTCCAGGGGCTGCTGCTGCTGGGGCGGCTGCTCCAGGGGCTGCTGCTGCTGAGGCGGCTGCTCCAGGGGCTGCTGCTGCTGGGGCGGCTGCTCCAGGGGCTGCTGCTGCTGGGGCGGCTGCTCCAGGGGCTACTGCTGCTGGGGCGGCTGCTCCAGGGGCTGCTGCTGCTGGGGCGGCTGCTGCTGGGGCGGCTGCTCCAGGGGCTGCTGCTGCTGGGGCGGCTGCTCCAGGTGCTGCTGCTGCTGGGGCGGCTGCTCTAGGGGCTGCTGCTGCTGGGGCTGATGCTGCTGGGGCGGCTGCTCCAGGTGCTGCTGCTGCTGGGGCGGCTGCTCCAGGGGCTGCTGCTGCTGGGGCTGCTGCTGCTGGGGCGGCTGCTGCTGGGGCGGCTGCTCCAGGGGCTGCTGCTGCTGGGGCGGCTGCTCCAGGGGCTGCTGCTGCTGGGGCGGCTGCTCCAGAGGCTGCTGCTGCTGGGGCGGCTGCTCCAGGGGCTGCTACTGCTGGGGCGGCTGCTTCAGGGGCTGCTGCTGCTGGGGCGGCCGCTGCAGTGGCGGCGGCTCCAGGGGTTGCTGCTGCTGGGGCGGCTGCTCCAGGGGCTGCTGCTGCTGGGGCGGCTGCTCCAGGGGCGGCTGCTGTTGCAAGGCAGGCCGCTCCAGGGGCGGCTGCTTCAAGGGCGGCGGCTCCAGGGGCGGCTGCTGCAGCGGAAAGTAGGAGGGAGGGGAGGGGAAGGGCGCGGCCCCCATTGTGCCCTGACGGGCGATGTGCTAGGGAGCCGCGCAGGTCCCCAAAAGTGCCTCGACTGGCAACGAGAGGGGACCGCGCGCAGGCCCCTAAGGCGCCGCGACGAGGCAACGGGAGGGGCCGGCTCGCGGGCCCCGAAAGTGCCGCGACGAGGCGACGGGAGGGACCTGCGTGCAGGCCCCCAAAACGCCTCGACGAGGCGACGGTCGGGGCCAGTGCGCGGGCCCCTAAGACGCCGCGACGAGGTAGGAACCCTCCGCGCGCCTCGGGGCGCACGGCGGGCAGAAAACCGCCACGCGCTCCGAGCGCGTGGCGGGAAGAAAAATGGGATGTCGCGCGCCACGGGGCGCGCGACACACAGTAGGGCAGCGGAATCGAGTGGGCCCACAGGCCAGGAACGTTAAGCTCTGATAACATATCAAAATCCTAGCGTGAGTTTGGCTTAGGAGCCATAGTTTAGGAGCCTTAGTAGTTGAGTTCGAGTTTAGGAAAAGTATCGAGAGGTTTGGAAGGAGAGGAATGGGGTTTCACTAGCAAGAGTTGGGATACAAGTACAACACCCTAAATTGGGTTGTACTCATTACAGAGTACCCCACTGCATGCTAGACAGCAAATACATTCTGACAAAGTTGCGAGGGTCGTGAGCGCGATCTCGCTCAAAACACTGTTGCGTTCTGCCCATACTGCCCCACTCGTCACCAAGAAAATAAATTCTCAGAAAGGGGTAACTGGGCCACAAAAAGACACCAATAGGAAGATTTAAAGGTGTTTGAGGAGGTTAACACCTCCAAAAATAAAACAAAATATGCGGTTTTGTTGGGTTCACCCTACCAGGCCTTAATCCGAGTAAGTCTCGCTTACTCTCCCAAAATGCTCGAGTACGCGGAGTTCCTCCGCGGAGCTAAGTTTGCCTATGAGTGAAACTTCCTGAAGGGTCACTTCGAGTCGTACTCCGAGTAGGGAGTCCGAGGCCCTGCTCGGTAGGGTCCCCACTCATACTGCGGTTGGTGGAGGGCAGGCTCCAATGTACAATTTCGGACATTGCTAAAGCCCACTAAATCGATATTGGAACACCGAACCTGCCCAGTGTGACTTGGCTACCGAATGCTTAAAAAGCCAATTCTGACTGCGGGCGCTGAAACTGCACGGAAATTTTCCTTCCCAGGCAAACTGGACTCGCAGTGGAAGTGGCTCTCAGTTTTGGGTTTCAGTTTCACTCCGTGAGGGCCACTCTGAGTGGCACAGTTTTGGGTTGACTTAAGATTGACAATTTTCGGGCCAATAGTTAAACCCTTACCTTCTTGAACCAAAAACAGCTGGCGCACAGCATGTGATGTTCTTTTTTTTTCCTCTTCGAATAACAGGGTACTTTGCGACGGGCAAGCTCGTTTTGTTTTTGGGTCAGTCTGGTACATTACCACAATCGTATCGAGAAAGTTACTGAACATTTCAGGGAAACTATCTTAAACTAGAATCGAAGTTTCCTTTCATTGTGAGTGGAAGCCCGAGGCTACGCAACATCTAGGACGCTTCCCGGGTTCGAGTACCCAGTGCAACTGGGAGGCTACCGAACAGGTCCCGAGCGATCGTTTGCTCATTTTGGCTAACTCGGAGTAAGCCACGTCGGAGTGAGTAATCTTCCACCACAAGTGCGAAGCGGGAGTTAGTGAACTCCCTCGAAGCTCACCTACTCTTCTTAAGGGTGCTACTGATCAGGGCCCTGGATTTTCGAACTTCCGAAGCTGAGACCTTTCTTGACGAATCAGTGTTGAGGTTTGCTCGTGTTAGTCCTCCAGCGCGATGGCGTACATCTGCTCGAAAGTGGCGGTGAGGAAGCACCTTCGATTGCACGCTCTTCTCAAGTAAGGACCACTACAGCACTGCTAGTCCAGGACGACTAAACCTGATGTGTGTATCATAATCCTACAGTGAATTTCGTCGCCTGCCCTCCGCTTGATTCGGCAAGCATCCCGTGACGTTCGCTTCTTATTCGCTACACCTTCCCACGTTTAGATATGCTCTCTAAGCCTGGAGTTTAGAGGAGATTAGGAGGCGCAATGTTGTCGAACCACACAAACGGCCACCAACGCAACGCAACCCTCAAGCAAGCCTCATGCTGCCAGTGTCGAATCGACGACAACACAGCACATACAATACAAGGAGCAACAGTATTTAGGGCAGCTGCTAAATTCATTCCAGCCTGGCCCTTCAGTTGCAATAGAGACGGACCCTCACAAAACTATGCAGCCATCGCTGCGCCGCCTTCTAGAAGATCTAGCGGCTTTTTTTTTTTTTTTTGAATGCTCTGATTCGATGCGTTTGATGATGGCGGAAGGGATCACGAAGGACTCCCGTCGTTACGTGATGCACCTCGCCCAAAAATCGAACGTTCCATGTATCCACTGCAATCGCGATCAGGACTTCAGACCAAGCAGCTTTAATTTGATTCCTGCCTGCCCGATGCACGCTATGCAACTCAGCACTGGAGATAAGTTGTATTGGATTAGCACGCCGATGGTCGAAACACGGGCAGCAAGTGGACACGGTCGATCCTCCTTGAAACGGAAGCACTGTAGTTTCGTCATTCGTAAGTTTCGCCACCCCCCTGCTAGATTCGGAATCCAAACTGTCTCAAATCTTGCGGCTCCTGCACCTCACGCGAGTGAATACCCTCCAGCGAGCGTGGAGGAAAAGGCGGTAGATTGCAGGAAAGGGGGATGAACCACTTGAAGTGGATCGACAGAGAGTGAAGTGGAGTCTTGAAGGCCAGTGAGAGAAAATGGTGGGCCACTGAGTGAGTGGAGGGAGAGAGGGTGACAAGCAGAGTAGCAAATGAGGCGCCTTTCTTTCAAGCTGTAAAAGCCAGCAAGTTGACTCAGAGTCTTCATCCAGATCCGTTCGCGCATAATTCATTCCCGATCTCGTCTTACAAACGCACGTCCTGCTAAGTACTTGCCCTGAGAAGACAAGCCCCCGTGTTCGCACGAAACAACGCGGCCTTTCTCCGCTACTTGCTGAAAGCAGTACTTTAGCTCCCGCTCCGCGACTAAGTAAACAGTGGATCCGTGGATCCTTTCAGCAACCGCGGATCCGTCTTCACTTTCCACCCTCTGCAGCGACCCGGCTTGTCTGGTTTTGCTATTAACATCCCCGCAAATAATACCGTCCCCTCCCTCAGCCGTCATGTCTCGTCCGCGCTGGTCGCGCCTGATGGTTCTTCCGCGCGAGGCTCCGCGCGGGGGTCCGGACAACGCGCGCCACGTCTTCCGCGGAGTGCGCCAGCGCAAGTGGGGCTCCTGGGTGGCGGAAATCGCGCACCCGCGCGTCAAATCGCGCGTCTGGCTCGGATCCTTCCGCACGGCGGAAGCAGCTGCAAGGGCGTACGATCGCGTTGCTCTCAAGCTTCTCGGCCCTTCCGCTCTTCTCAACTTCCCCCAGCCTCAGGCTTCCCCACCCGGCCCTCTATCACTGGGGCCTGAAGCCCCTGAAGCACCTAAGCCTCTAGTAGGGTCTGGAGCTTTGGAGGCTGCATGGGCGGAAACCCCAGGCTACATGCGAGCGCTCCCCGCTGGCGCTTCCCCTTCAGCTTACCCTGCCGCTGCGAATGAAGTCACCACGGCCCCTGACAAGGCCCAGGCTGAAGCACGTCCCCTGGCATCGCAGGGTGGCCCAGTCAACAAGAGAAGAGCCCTGCACGTTGCTGGAGGAGTCGCGGTGAAACCCGTCGCTCCGCCCGTGCTGTCCCCATCAACCAATCCGAGCACAGCAGCAGGCGTTTCGGCGCCGCCTCTGCCTCCCGTGACCAGCCTGGCTTCCCTTCTTTCCTCTTCTGCGTGCCCCTTCAGTCCCCCAGCTGACCCAACAGTTGGCACCCACATGAGCTTTCCTACTCTCACTGCGGTTGAGAGCGGTTCCACAATTCCTGCTGCTGCCACTCCCACTACCAGTACCTGTGGTGGTGTCTCGGCGTTGCATATGAGAGTTGAGATGCTGCAGCGGCTGCTGTCGCCGCCGTCGAGGGACAGCACGAGGGCACAGACGCTCGATCATGCTGCAGCCAGCGCAGTTGACGCCACCTCTGCTTTTGACGTTAGCCCTGTTGCTGCTGCTGGGAATAGGGGCGGCCCCGTTGCTGCTAAAGGGGAAGGGCTGCCGTCCCTGCCGGATCATGTATCAGCGTGTGTTGCGATGCTGGCGGCTCTGGGCGCTGGTGTCTTGCTCAATGCACCTGTGGCTCCTGCTGTGTCTACTGCTGCTGCCCCTGCTGCTCTTGATGCTGCCCCTGGTGCTGCTGCTCCTGTTTCTCTGGCCACTCCTGTTTTTCCTGCTGCTCTGCCTGCTGCTGCTCGTTCCAAAGCCCCTCCTGCACAGGCACCGGCAATGCACAGAAGCTACTCGACCCTGCCCCTCCCTCCCCCTTCATGCGGCATCATCCCGGTCACTTGCCTCTCGGAACCATTCACTCCTCGGAACCGCAATGCAAGCCTTTATTCTGCCACCGCTGGTGCCAGCACTGGTGCTGTCTCAAGAAAAAGGTCATGGGAGCAGGCTGTGATGCCAATACAGTCACATCGTTCAGTTCTTACAGTCACACCTGGGGACGGGCAGCTGAAGGCGCTGCTGCTGGAGATGGAGGAAGAGGACAAGAGAAGCATAAGGGAGGCTCCGTGCTTAGAGACATCCAAGCAGGTTGAGACGCTGCTGCTGGAGCTTGAAGAGGAGGAGAGAAGGGTGAAGAAAACACTCTGGGTACAGCAACCAGAGCAGGTTCAGACGCTGCTACCTGGATCAAACAGCCCTCAGCAAATGCAGCATCAGGTGCAGGCAGCATTGCCGCCTTTCCCTCAGATGCACTCAGCGCAGCATGGTCATGTGTCAGCTCAGCAGCAAACCACGGATGCCTCGCTGGACTCTCTACTGCAGCAGCTGGAGGCGACACAGGAGTATGAGATGATGCTGCTAGCCCAAGCAGTGGAAGCGCAGAGGAGGGAGGAAGAGCGAGTTTCTGCCCTTCACCTTCTGGTTTCGCCGTCGCTGCCCAGATTCCAGCCAGTTATACAACCTTCTTACGGATCACACTTGGAACCTCCTCAGCACTCCATGCACTCAGCCGTATTGCACAAGAATATTGTCTCCTTGGAACCCCACACTCTTACCAGCTCGCATTTTCCGTCACTGACAAACATAGATTCACATAACATGGGTGGTACAGAGTTCGAGCTTGACCTTCTGGCTGACATCATGAATACAGGGAGTTGAAAAGCGTGAGCTGTGAGTTATTTATTTCGCTCGAGTTGTGACATTAAATGCTGTCAACATGCTCTGATAAATCTATATACCTTTACCGTATGTGTGCGGAATGTTAAACATTGTCATGCAGATCCCAACACATTCTACACTTATGCGAAGTCCAACCTCGAGAGCGGCACGTGGCACTCAGATGAAGCTTGTCTCGTTATCCACCACCCCACACCTCGAGGCAACCACGAACCGTCACCGCCACGTCGCCACTTCCTGAAGCATCTTCAGATGACGTGGCACATCGTGTGAGGGTGTAAGACGAATCTCCATGCATCGCACCATACTTCACCGTAACATCTCGTACCGAAACGTGCATCACCTCGTTATCTACCATTCTCACCTCCTGAACTCCCTCAGTTCATGCTGAGAGTTACCTTTCTCATCAGTTCCTGAATCCTGAGTCCTGATCACTCTTTCTTTTTGTTGAGTGACAGAGATCAGTTTGTGCCCAACTTTTCATGCTCGCAGCACAAGTATACCTCAAATCCACACGCTCAGACGACGCTTTCGGTCGCAACGCACGTCACGTCAGCCACATTCAGCCAGACACGGGAAAGAAAGCAGCCGTCAGCTGGGCTCACGTCAACAGACGTCACTCGATCCTTTTCGGAATTTGTGCGCGCCGAGTACTGTTGATTGACTACACTCTACTCGGCTAGCGCATCCGTACACTACTCTACTTCCGTGGTGGCAGCACCCTGCTCCTTCCTGATCCCGTTTCGACGCTCTTCAGTAGCTACCATGGCTGCTCTTATCTCGGCAGAGAGCGTCGTTACAATGGTTGTCGCCAACTCCGCGGCGAACCGCGGCGTCGCGAATTTCTCCACATGCTCGCGGCTACCATCTTGCAGTGTTCTAACCGGCCGAGCTCCTAACAGGCCGTTAAGCATTTCTGCTCGGAGCTCCCTTCAAGGTGCGTCAGAAAGCATTCTCGGTGCAAGCCTGTGGTTGTTTCTTCTCAACCAAAATCCAGCAGTCCGTTATATCTCCGCTTGGGCTCTCTCCAAGGTGCGTCCGAAAGCCTTCTTGGGTCGACCTAAGCGTTTCAAATGGTTTTCTCCGTCCGCGGTTTACTTGCATGTGCAAGGATCTGCAGTTTGCAGTTTGCTTATGGGGAATGTACCCTTCGGTAGCAGTTCATTTCGTTGTCACCTCCAAGGTTCTGGTGCAGTCTAAGAGTCTAAGGCACCAGCGACCAGTCTCAGTGTCAGCCTCCCACGAATTCACCTCTTGAGTCAATTCTAACGTCACTTTTCAGTTCATTTCTCCGTCAGCTCCAAATCTCCGTCAGTCCAAGGTCTAAGGCACCATCAACCAGAATCTCCATTCCGCCGGCCTGCTGTCCTTGCTCTTGTGACTTTCTTGCTTTGCTGACCTTTCAGTTGACTCAAGAGGCACTTCTCTCGATTCTACCGCGCTCAAACATTCTTAGTCTACTGTCTTGTCTTCTGTCCTTGATTTGGTGCAGACAAGAGAGAAACAGGAGCAGCGGCCAGCAGCAGCAGCAGCAGCAGCAGCAGCAGCAACACTACTAGCACCAGCAGCGTCAACAGTCAAACGGCGTCTTCTCCTCCAGCCTCCTCCGCGGCTTCTCCTGCGGACGAAGCGGAGGAAGTTACCCGGAAATGGGGTCTCGAAGCCGGGCTATGGAAGGTGAGAGGTAGATAGGATTGATGGGGTAAGATTCCCCATTCGTGACAGGGGTAAGATGAGGTTTTAAGATTCCCATTCTTGGGTGCAGTGGTGATGGTGCAGGTGAAAATGGGCAAAGTGCTGAAATGAGTGAAGGTACAAGTAATGAATAGAGAGAGTATGGATACATAGAGGAGGTTGAGAATGAGCTGAGATTGTTTAGCAGCAGACCCCCAGTAAAATGTGGCAACCGAACGACAGCAAGAACAGTGCTTCTGGAACCACTGCTTCTGCTGCTCCCTGCTGCTGCTGCTGCTGCTGCTCCTGCTGCTGCTAATGATAATGATGCACCATCTCAGAGCAGCACGGAAGCGGCGAAGGACCTGCTGACTTGCCCCGGTGGGGCGTATCTTGAAACCCCCATCGACTAATCTCTCCCTCCCTGCCCCCTCTTTCCCACACACTCTCGAACGGTTCTTGCCATTGAATATAATCGGTAGAGCAGGGGCAAAGGTGAATAATTAAGGTAAGAACTAAGCTAAAGAGCTAGGGTAAGAGCATATGCGCAACCTAAGCAAAGGATAAAGCCCTGGCAGGTAAGTGCTACGGGCGGGTGTTTGTGAGGGACGGAAATGGGAAGGGTGGGGGTGGTGTCATGGGCGGATCCAGGGGCGAGTAGGCCGACTACCCCAGCCAGCAGTGAGTATGAGCAGGGATGGTGCCACACACACTCTCTCTCTCCCTGGCCCCTCTCGTTAAGATGGGATCAACGCGGAGGTGGCGAAGGACCTGCTGACCCGCTATGGGGGGCTTACTCCCACACTTGCCCCCACCCAACCCTCCTCCTCTCCCTCCTTGCTCTCTCCACCCTCTCTCCCTCGTGTAAAGCTGGGAGCAACGCGGAGGTGGCAAAGGACCTGCCGACCCGCTACATAGGGACGTAGGTTGTGACCTCCATCGCCCCCCGCAGACCCTCTCCCTCTCTCTCCCTGTCCCTCCCACCTCTCTCCCTTTCCCTCTCTCTGAAGGCTGGGAGCAACGCCGAAGTGGCAAAGGACCTGCTGACTCGCTACGGAGGGGCGTACCTCGGGACCTCCATCGCTCTCTCCCTCGTCTCCTTCTCTCTCTGCTACCTGCTTGTGGATCAGGGCGTCGACGTGGCTGGGCTTCTTGACTCGGTAAGAGCTTGACTCGCTACGTGCTTGACTCATTACGGACTTGACTCTTTAAGTGGTATATGTGCAATATTCGGAACCTCCATCGCCCTCTCCCCCGTCTCCTTCTCCCTCCGCTACCTGCTCGTTGACCAAGGCGTGAATGTGGCTGGGCTCCTTGCCTCGGTAAGAACCGTCTTTCTATAAAAGACACGAACATTTGTCGCTTCCCTCTCCCTCGTCTCCCTCTGCTACCTGCTCGTTGGCCAAGGGGTGGGACGTGGCTGGCCTCCTCGACTCGGTAAGAGCTGACTCGCTTGGAAGCGTTGTCATCAATCTCGTTGTATATGATGGATGCAGTACGTAGGACCTCCTTCGCCCTCTCCTTCTCTCCTTCGCCCTCTGCATTGCCCGTGGCATGGATGTGGCTGGGCGTCTGGATCGGTTGAACCTGTATGCCCATAGCCTGTGGCCTATGTGGCCCAAAAAGCCGTATCTCGTGTCTGCGTCCCTCTTACCCAGGTATCCACCCTCTCTCCCTCACTCCCCCTCGTCTCCTTCAAAAACCTCTCCCTACCTCAGTTCGGTCTGCATGCAGACAGCACAGGGGAGGCAGTGGGCACCTTAGCTACCGCCTTAAACCCATTTTCCCCTCCCTCCACTCCTTCACCCACTTGCCCCTCCTCCCCTCCTTCAGTTCGGTCTGCATGTGGACAGCACAGGTGAGGCAGTGGGCACCTTCGCCATTGCCTGTGCGGCCTACAATGCCCTCTTAACCCCTTTCTCTCTCCCCCCATCCCCCCTGTTCTCCCCCCATCAGTTGGGTCTGCATGTGGATAGCACAGGGGAGGCAGTAGGTACGTTCGCCATTGCATATGCGGCCCACAAGGCCCTCTCTCCTGTTCGCTTCCCTCCCACCGTCGCCCTCACTCCGGTGGTGGCTGGTTGGTTGGGGAAGAACAAGGAGAAGGAGGGGGAGAGCAAGGGGGAGTGATTGGGTGGGGTTTATACAGGGCCGTACGGGAGGGGAGGGGAGGGAAGCAGGGGTGGGAGTGAGGGAGGAGAGAGGGAAACGGTGGAGGGAGTAAGAGCTCTCAACATTGCCATGCGGCCCACAAGGCCCTCTCTCCCGTTCGCTTCCCCCCCACTGTTGCCCTCACTCCAGTGGTTGGAGAGGGAATTCGAGAGTGCTTGGACCGATCCTTTTGTTCTGCTTGCTCCTCTTGTGATTTATTTTAAAATGTGCGTGTGCTGTTTGTGTGCTGTATGAACCAAGCCTGTATTCGTGTATTATTCTGTGTATGATACTATACAGCACGTTTCACCCTAGAAATTGCACCAAGTAGGACCTTTAGTGTGATGATGGAGATTCACTACACTACGCTTCAATCGTTTGTTGCTTGTAGATCCTCCATTAATTTTCTGCCCTAGCTTTATATCAGCAACCCAATCCACTATGGCAGTGAAGTACGAGGAAATGTGTCTCTTTGTCTCAATAACAATGTTAACTAACATCTACAGTAACATCCTCTATATCGACCACCCCTTTTTAAGCACGGCCTCGAGCTTCTCAGCCTTCTGGTACTCCATGGCAGTGAGCGGCCCCGGGGTGGAAGACGTACTATTTTCATCATAGAATGTGTTCATACTGCAGAATTCCAGCAATACCATCTACTGTAATCCCCTCTATATGAACTGCCCCTTTCTCCACATCCTCGAGCTTCTCGGCCTTCTGGTACTCCATGGCAGTGAGAGGGCCCGGGGGAAATGTGTTGTCCTCAACATGGCAGTACAGTACCGGAACTCCTTCAAAATGTTCAACATAAACATCTACAGTAGCACCCTCTATATAGACCGCCCCTTTTTAAGCACGGCTTCGAGCTTCTCAGCCTTCTGGTACTCCATGGCAGTGAGAGGGCTCGGGGGGAAGACAGTGACCTCGACCACAATGTGTGGCGTGGGCAGCTCGTCAAACATGGCCCTCACGTTGTTGCAACACACTATCTCACTGTGTGCCGTTTCCCTGCGAATCTAGCAACCCTATTAGAGGGAGGCGGGGAGGAGGAGGCAGGGTGGGGAAGGAGAGGGAGGGAGGCAGGGTGGGGAGCAGTTGAGGCAGGGAATGTCAAACTTATATAGTGCTTACATTGTGTAGGCTGTAGTGGGGTAGCCCACAAGGGGTGCAACCCAATTAGGGTTAGTACTTGTACCCAACTTTCTATTCAATCTCATCATTTCTCGTTCAGTAGTTTTGACATGGTCTCAGAGCAGGTCCTTCCCTATGACCGATTTTTTTTTGGGCCCACCACAGCGCTGCCCCACTAGCTGCCCTGCCGCCCTGCCCTACCTGGCGCGCCGCCCTTTGCAGCCCGCGCGCCGCCTTTAGCAGCCCGCGAGCCGCCCCTGCTGCCCGCTCGCCGCTCGCTTGCGGCCCGCTCGCCGCTCGCTTGCGGCCCGCTTGCCGCCCCTGCAGCCCGCTCGCCGCCCGCTTGCGGCCCACTCGCGGCCCCTGCAGCCCGCTCACCGCCCGTTTGCGGCCCGCTCGCCACCCCTGCAGCCTGCTTGCCGCCCGTTTGCGGCCCGCTCTCCGCCCCTTGCAGCCCGCGAGCCGCCCACTGGCAGCCCGCTCGCCGCCCCTTGCAGCCCGCTCGCCGCCTCTTGCAGCCTGCGCGCTGCACCTTGCAGCCCGTTCGCCGCCCCTTGCGGCCTGCTTGCCGCCCCTTGCAGCCCGCGCGCCGCCCTCTTGCAGCCCGCTCGCCGCCCCTTGCAGCCCGCGCGCCGCCCTGTGGCAGCCCGCTCGCCGCCCTTTTGCAGCCCGCCCGCCGCCCCCCTTTGCAGCCCGCGTGCCCGCCCTGCTGCTTGCGCCGCCCGGCTGCTGCCCGCCCTGCTGCTAGCCGCCCTACCCATGCGCCGCCCTGCTCTGCCCTGAGTGCTTCCCTAGTGCTCGCGCGCCGCCCTGCCTGCGTGCTGCTCTACTGGTCGCGCGCCACCCTGCTCTGCCCGCTATGGTTTCTCTCAGTGTACTCACCTTCGATCATGAGGGCCGTCCGATCCAGTTCGATACGTGGCTAGACGACTTACATTGTACCTACTGAGCGATTCTCGAGACAGCGTTTCGTTGTTTGACCACACGTCTGGAGCCTCTCTCGCCCCTCCCGCCACAGCTGACAGTGCGACTCGCTCACAGTGGCTTACCCGTGACGCTGCTGCTCACTTAGCCGTTCGCAGCCACCTGCCATTAGCCGAACGCGCTCACTTTGGCCAGCACAAGACTGCTAAAGCGGTGTACGACGCTGTAGTCGCTCGTTACTCCTCCCCTGCCACTGCTGCTCTCGGCCGCCTTATACTGCCCTACCGGTTTCCTGAGCATTCAGCCTTTGCCACAGTCGAGGACCTGGTTACCCACCTTCGCACTAGCGACGCTCGCTACCGCTCTGCCCTCCCAGCCGAGTTCCCACACAGGAACCCCCCCTCGATGTACATCACTCTCTACTTCATAGTCACCCGCCTCCCTGACTCTCTTCACGCAGTCAGGGACCACTTTCTCGCTCTTGACCCCACATACCTCACTGTCGACCTGCTCGAGAAGCACCTTCTTGCACCTGAGACTAGCGTAGTCGCTCTAGGTGCTGCTCGTGGCACTCCTCGCACACCCTTCTTTGAGGGGTGTTCCCCCTCCCCCCTTGCCCCCTCCTATGCTTCTGCTGCTGCTGTTGACATCCTTGGTGCTGAGGATGTCGGGGCTGCTTCTGCTCTTAGTGGGAAGCGCCGCAGCAGCAAGGGCAAGGGTGGCAGGAGTGGTGGCGGTGGCAGCGGGGGTGGTGGTGGTGGAGACACTGGAGGCGGTGGAGGTGGAGGAGGTGGTGGCAGCGCTGGGAGTGGTGGCGGGAGTGGGGGCTTCGGTGGCGGCGGTGGCGGCAGCGGTGGGGGTGGGGGTGGCGGTGGTGGCGGCAGTGGGAGTGGTGGCGACGGCAGTGGTGGCGGTCGGGGTGGAGCTGTTCAGAGGGGAGGTTCTGGCGGTGGCCAGAGGCAGCAGCAGTAGCTTCGGAGCGAGACCCCTTCGCCCCAGCAGCTTCGTGAGTGGTTTGCTCAGCGTGGGGCATCGGGGGGTAGTGTTCGTTGCCCGTATGTCATTCGCACGGGTGACCGTGCTGGTCAGACATGCGGGAAGTTTCACTCTCAGCACCGCTGCTTCTCCCGTCTAGACGACGCTTGGCGCGCAGAGTTTGGCGAGGAAGCTTAGCGCCCCCGCTGGCTAGAGCTGCTTAGGTCTGGAGTTGATATCTTTGCTCTTGACTATGATGCTATCCTTGCTGCCATGTATGCCTTGTCTGTTAGTGCTGAGGGTGACTGTTACCTGTCTGTGCCGCCCGACCCAGGTATAGAGGCTGCTGCTCTAGGTGCTAGTGAGTCTGCTCTTCCTGGTACTGCGCCTGCTGAGGCCTTGCACACCTTCACACTTGACTCAGGTGCTTCCCGCTGTTTCTTTCGCGACAATACCACCCTCACTCCACTCCCTGCACCTCTTCCAGTCAGACTGGCTGACCCCTCAGGGGGCCCAGTTCTTGCCCGTTCCTCCACTGTTCTTCCGTGTCCGGCGGCTCCGTCCGGCTCACTGTCAGGTCTTCACCTCCCCTCGTTCTCTACGAACTTGGCGAGTACCGCTGCCCTCCAGGATGTGATGGTCACTACCACCACTCCTGGGGGTCAGCGTGTGTTGATCTGCACGTGTACACGGACGGGCCGTCACCTGGCCACGTTCACCCGTCGGCCTGGGTCGAGTCTGTACACACTGGCTACCGAGCCTCCTCACGTAGCTGCGTCTGCCCAGGTGTCCGCGTCAGGTCCGGTAGCACCCCCCTGCTCGTGTCGCCTCCTGTCGCACCAGACTCTCCTGTTGCACCACCGCCTTGGCCACCCCTCCCTGCCACGCCTTCGTGGCATGCACTCCCGCCTCCTTGTTTCTGGTCTTCCCAGGTCTCTGCCTCCCCTCCCGCCCTCGCCTGCCCCGCCTTGCCTTCCTTGCGTCGAGGGGCGGCAGCGCGCCGCTCCTCACTCCTCCTCGTATCCCCCGACGACTGCTCCCCCGCAGAATCTCCACATGGACGTGTGGGGCCCAGCCCACGGTCTTCCCCTTGCGCTACTTCCTGCTGGTTGTTGATGACTACACGCGTTACACCACGGTCTTCCCCTTGCGCAGCAAGGGTGAGGTCCCTGATGTCTTGATCCCTTGGATCCGTGCAGTCCGTCTCCAGCTCCGCGAGCGGTTCCGCGAGGACCTTCCTGTCCTGCATCTACACTCTGACAGAGGTGGTGAGTTCTCCTCCGGCCTCTTGCGAGACTTTTTTCATGGGGAGGGCATCCTCCAGTCGTTCACGCTTCCGGCCTCCCCGCAGCAAAATGGGATTGCTGAGCGCCGCATTGGCTTAGTCATGGAGGTGGCTCGTACCTCCATGATCCATGCGGCTGCTCCCCATTTTCTGTGGCCGTTTGCGGTCCGGTACGCTGCGCATCAGCTCAACCTCTGACCCCGTGTCTCCTTGCCGGAGACCTCGCCTACACTGCGCTGGACGGGGAAGGTTGGCAATGCGTCGGTGTTCCGGGTCTGGGGCTCTCGTGCCTTTGTCCGCGATACTTCCGCGGACAAGCTCTCCTCCCACGCTATTCCTTGCGTCTTCCTTGGCTTTCCCCCTGACGCGCCTGGCTGGCAGTTTTACCACCCCACCTCGCGCCGTGTCCTCCCCTCTCAGAACGTCACGTTTGACGAGCCTGTTCCCTTTTTTTCCATCTCTTCCCCTACCGCACTGCCCCTCTACCCCCCCCCCCCCGCCGCTCTTCCTTGCCCTACGTCCCCCTCCGGTAGACCCCCTCCCCCCTCAGGGTCCTACTCCCTCAGGTGTGTCTCAGGTAGACCCTCTCCCCAGGACTGTGCCTGTGTAGGTGCTGCTAGAGGTACTGCGTCTGGGGGTGCTGCGTCTGGGGGTGCTGCGTCTG